CTGAAAAATAACATTACCCTTCCTGTCCCTTACACATAACCACCCATCATCGCTTCCTTCCTTCTCTTTCCATGTCTCTGGAGAGTTTTATGGCCACAGCACCTTCCCCAGGGGCTGCTGCAGCTGCAAGGCTGCATTTCCCATGCCGCTTCCTAGGGATTTCTTTTCCTTCTCAGCATATTGCCCTCTGACACCTGCTTAAGATTAACTTCATCTACCCTGCTCCCTCGACAGGATTGATGAAGTTAATAAATTACCCACTCATGAAGTTAAACTAACTGGCCAGGAAATCTAGGTTTTCAGTTTTTAACAGCCAGTAACAACAAGCTGAGTTTTGATTTGGGTAGGTACTTCAGCTGCAATTGATCTACTGTCCTAATTCTCCCTCAGCATCTTTATCAAACCGAAGGCAGTTATATATTAGGCTTTTAGTTTCACCAAGTGACCTGTATTTTGAATCCTCTAGCTATCTTATTCTTCTTCCTACACACATAATTTCTACAAACCACCAACCACTTTGATGCTTCCTATTTTCTGTCCCATTCTTTTTTTGAAATTAGGTTCATGAAAAGTTTCCAGTCGGTTACATTGGCTTTGTTCTTTTCTATTGATTATTCCAGTCCTTTTAGCACATTCCAATTGCTTTAACGTAGACTGGAGTTATTTTTAGGGACTTCCATTTGCATAGTCATCACTGCTACTAATAACCCTAAAGCCATGACTGGACCTGGCTGCACAACCTCCCCTCAGTTCATTCTATTCTATTCTCTACTGTTGGCTTCATCAAGAGGCTTAGGTCCAAGCTAAGTCCATAAATCATGTCCTGTGTATTGATGCTGTGATTACAAATATTGGCATTCTGTCACCATACAAATATAAGGAAGGAAGAGTGATCATAATGGGTTAGAAAAAGATCCATGTAGGTCAGTTCCACTGTTCTCCAACAGTGGCCAGGAGCAGGTAGTTAGGAAATGAAGGGTACAGGAAGGGGCAAGCACACACAGTACCTCTCCTAGGTGTTCTCTTGGCCTCCATTTCTGTGCAGCTGGGGAGCTCCATCAGCCAGAAGTCTGCACACTCAGTACTCTCAAAGGATTTTTCTTCCGTGAACTTGTCCAGTCTTCTCCTGAACTCATCACCTTACAGCGCACGTACAATGAATGAGTAAGGCCACATGATAAGTAAGACCAATATACAGTCAAAATGCCACTCAGAAATATTAATTCTGAGGAGAATCCCATTTTAAAGTGTAATACTTATAAGCAGAATGAGTTGTTTCTTTTTTTTTAAATATACACTGGGCAAACATTTGAACTAATCACAACTCTTCATTACTGCCTAGCTATGAGAAAATACATTAGCACCATTAATGTGCTTTGCTGCCAAATGCCGGGCTCCAATTTAAAAATATTTGCATTACAACAGCCCAGTGTGTGGACAAAACTACAAGATAAACATGCTTTCAAGGAAGCCAGGATTTTGGGATGTATTCCTGTGTTTAACTAGATGATCTCTGGAGGTCCTTCTGACTGACAATTCTGTGATTCTGTGAAATCGGAGAGGCTCCCCAATGGAGGAGATTTTAGGGGCTTCTTTGCTGCAGTTCCCTGAATCCCAGCGAAGGGTACTCAACTCGAGAGGTCACCTGAAGTTCCCTCCAACAACCCCTCTCCCTAAGAGTGGTGTTTTCCACTCAGTTTTATCCCCTCCAACTCTTACTTCATCAGAGCTCTTACCAAAAGATCCCTTCTCCCTGCTTCCTCCCACTGTCGAAAGGACCAGGTGGAGGAAAGTCAACCCAGTTATCTTGACTTCAGAGATGGCTGCGTGGTCATCTAAGGCCACATATTTCTCTTCTTCAACAGCTGTATCAATTCCCCAACCGTTTTAATCAAATAAAGAGAAGAACAACACGTGCTCTTCACAATAACGTATAAATGGACATACTATCACTACTCAATACTTCATTTTTGCTGGTGTCTTGAATATCAGTTATCTATTCAAAGAAGTTGTTATTAAACAAGCATAATCTTCCCCTAATGAGGTTGCAGCACTAGAATGCTCATGTTTGCACAGGCAAAAGGAAAATGGTTACTGGCATTAATTTTGGGCTGTATGCCTAGTTTCTTATACGTTCACATTATTTTTCCTCAGATGTTTCTTTTACCATTTCTACTTTATACACTATTTATGTAAGACTGCCCAGAAATGACTAGTATTCTTAACCAATTCTTACTATGTCTCCTCCAAATCCTTACTAGTATGACATATTCTTTAACACCGTGCAGAAAAAAAACAAATGGAACACATACGTGATTTCAAATATCTAAGAGGCAAAACATACTAAACTGCTGAGGAAAATAAATATAATCCAGTATTTATTCAATAAGCCAACAGAATGCAAAACTTCAGTATGAAGAGCAAACAAATAGAAAAGAGAAATCAAAGGGTGAAAAGTTACAGTTCATCCTTGAGATGTAACAAATATTTGCTAAATTTTCTGTTTATTTTAGAAACGTGACAATTGCTAAAACAAAATTGTACAGTCATGGAAGCATTGGAACTGTTCAGATTTCTACTGGGATGGCTCTTTAGAAAACAAAATGGGCTTACCCATGACTAAGTTTAAGACATATGGTAGTGTCATCACAGATTAATGTTTTTCCAGCTTATACTTTTTCCAGTTTATACTCCTCCTCCGAGGGTCAGCGAGAGGCGAGACGAAAAAGCCTGTGGAGAGGAGCTTACATTCACTGCATGGAAGGATGCACCTCCACCATAACATTTTGAGTTCATGTATCAAAAAAAAAAAAATATTTAAATCCACTGTGTTAAACAAATGGTATTTTAGTAACTTCACAGCTACATGGTCACGAGTATAGGAAATTCCTAGATTAACTCAGATGAAAAACAAGCTTATGTAGGTAAAGGCAATGGGCAAGCTTCAAAAATGACTGCATAAATCTGACACCACCAAGTATGTCATCCTTCCCTCAGTGGAGCTCCTCAAGTTTGAAGGAATGCAACCACATCATCTCACTCAGACAATGACATGTATTTCAGGTGCGCAGAATAAGTGAGTTATAAATCCAGATTCTGGAAACCTCCTTCCATTTGGAGAGCTGTCTTCCAGATTTCCCTCATTTACTTTTCAGCTGCTTTTGTAATCACGTTTCATTGCTGTGAAAACGCTTAAGCTGAAGTTGCAAAGTGCAGCACTGCTGGAGGCTGCAAAGCACTTAGGATTAGCAGACTGCTTGGAAAAGGAAGCAATGTGATCATCAAGGCAGGTCAAGCAGGTGCAACCCACCAGAGCTCAGTCAACGAGCCTATTAGTGACAAACAGACAGGCTAAGCAGCAGTCACTCCATTTGGCTGCACTGGTCCAACAGGGTTAGCAGGGGGAAAATACAGAAACACACATTTACCACTCTGAAATCTGTTCTTTCAAAGTATCTCCTTCACAATCAGCTCTGATTAACGCACAGATTTCAGACTTCACAATCACACCGAATTAAAATTCACTGTCAACATGGGAGAGGCTGTACTGCTATTTTAGTTTTAGATGCAGTTAGGTAACTTTCAACTTACGCTTTAATACTGTTCGCTTATAAGTGGCATATAAATCATTGAAACCTGTTTTACAAATTAAGGAATTGAAAACTAATTGTTAAGAGTAATATTTTGCTAAATATTATTACAGTGAGGCAAAACAGACATGGTTTAGCAGAAAGAAATTGCAATTTATACATAAAATTTACCTCCTTTGTTTTCATTTCAACATTTGGATCATGTTAGATAGCACCAGATTTTCCTATTATCACATTTCTCCCAAGGACAAGACCATCCAGCTACCAGCTATTGTTCTGGCTGATAAATCTACACAATAAACACCACGTAAACAGATAACTACAGTTCATAACTGTGTCAAAGACACACTTGCTCTTTGTAGTTTAGTACTATGCACAGACTAACATTAATCTGGTATTTTTTTGCCATGACGGTACTATAAGAGACCAGGTAAAGATAGAGGCCAACCTCATCCTTCTCTAGAGCCTAGTCCAGAGCTCTTTTAGGAGTATCAACTTCAATTTTTCTTTTATAGCTGGAACAGCCTAAGGAGTCCAAAAGTTCCTGGGGAATAGGACAGGGTGAAGAAGGTCAACCCAAGGTTTTCCTGGTTTAATAGTCCAGAAGCAGCATGCAAATCACCACTGAAGAAGAAACACGCAAGGAGTCAGCAGAAGTATGGCACAAAATAACAAAAGACTACAAAAGTAATCCTTTTCTTTTTCAGGACTAGGGCAGATGAGAATAGCTCTACAGCAACTCTGTTCCTAGAGTCTTTAGCTTCTCCTGCATTACCAAGCCTAGATAAAGACACCCTGACTTTTCCTGTGTGATCCTGTAGAAAAAACACACAAACAACCAAACAAAACCCAGTCGTTCTGACAACTTACTGTTCATATCTCCTCTCCACCAAAGCAATCTATGAACTCCTTCAGATCCTTCAGTTCTGTGACACACCAGCTCCCTAATGGATGCTTACTAAATATCATCTCGCCTTTTGCTCCCTCCAGCTGCTCTTTCTCTGGATACCCATATAATATTACCTGCAAGAAAAAAAAACAACAACTGGAGCATAAGCTTCTTTAGAAGGCTTTCAGACTTCCCTGGTTTTCTCTATTGTTCCAGAGATACCAAACTCACAAGACTTGATGATTAAAAACACATTCAGGGCAGCTCTCTGAGACTGTGCACAAGGGTGGCACCCTGGATGGCCACACGCAGCGGTTTCAGCCCCACAGCCACTAACCCCAGCACTGCTGTCAAGTTTTGTGCAGAAACCTTCAGAAGCAGTGCCCAGTTTTCCTCCAGTTCTTACGCCACAGGAACCTAAAAATGGAGCTTTAAACATTTTTTGCTTTTCTGTGTAGGTCTTTGGTAAGGAGCAATGCTCTTACCCTGAATAACATTAAGTGAGAACAGCAACAGGCAAATTATTAGCAAGGTTGTGAGAATCTTGCAATATTTTTATTCAGCTGCACTTAAATAAATTGTTCCAGACAGATACAGTCAGGTTACAGAAACCTACAAGTTTTAAGAGAGGATGAGAGAACCGTAACCAAGGATGACACCACACCTTCTTACAAATAGGACACAAAATACTGCATTTAAGAGTTTAATTAGCTACAAAAACACATCAACATTTCCAAACATATATGCAATAGATCTTTTAAGAATGGATGACTGATATTTACAGATTAAGATATCTTACATGTAGAACTTGGTCTTTGCACTTATTTAAAACAGCTTTTACATTTACAGCCTTTTTATACTGCACTAAGAAGATAGCTTTAAAACAGTCTTCCCTGTTTTCATTGTTTATGTAAACGCTGCTCTTTTGCATTTTGCAAACTAAAAAAACCATTTAAATAAAGCAATTAAGTCCTGGAAACTTCCATTTAAATAAAATAATTCTGCAGTACAAATCCATCATAAAAATAAGGTAGTAAAAAATATATCAGAACTGTTCAGCAAAATGTCTGGACAGATATTTTGCTAAGCTATGATATTTGTTCAGCTACGATTTTTGTTCAGCTCCCATCAGCTTTCTCTTGAAAGATGAAGTATTTTCTGCCACCCGTCCGTACTCTCAGGTTCAGGTTCTAAATTATCCAAGTAGAAGAGAGATCAATTTTGCCACCACATGTACGTTGAGGCTGTTTCCCAGAAGACGGTAGCATTGCTTGACTGTTACTCTGTCAGGAAAGCCTGAAAGAAAAACATACAGTGCAACATCATTACCCTGGGTTTTAGTCTACTCCTTTTTTTCAGTGCATTTATCCCAGATTGCAGCAGGGTTCAACCCCCTCAAAAAAAATCACAAAGTTCCAAAAATAATTCCCAATCAGTTCATTGGATTTGTATCAGTTCTTCTATTAGCAGCACTGCCATTTCTGATGTTTAACAAGAAGCCTCAAAACATTGCTCTATTGTGTAACTAATGCCCATCTAGAGAGGTCATCCTGCCCCTCTGCTCTGCCCTGCTCTGGTAGAGCCCATCTGGAGCACTGGGACCAGTTCTGGGCTCCCCAGTTTAAGAAGGACAGGGAACTGCTGGAGAGGGGACAGCAGAGGGCTACGAGGATGATGAGGGGCCTGGAGCATCTCCCTTATGAGGAGAGGCTGAGGGACTTGGGTCTTTTTAGTCTGGAGAAGAGAAGGCTGAGGGGGGATCTGATCAATGCTTATAAATACTTCAAGGGAGGGCATCAACGATCAATGCTTATAAATACTTACAGGGAGGGCATCAACAGGATGGGGCTGGTCTTTGTTCAGTGGTGCCCAGGGACAGGACAAGAGGAAATGGGCACAAACTTGAACATAAGAAGTTCCACCTAAACATGAGGAGGAACTTCTTTCCTGTGAGGGTGGCAGAGCCCTGGCAGAGGCTGCCCGGGGAGGTGGTGGAGTCTCCTTCTCTGGAGACATTCAAACCCACCTGGACACGTTCCTGTGCAACCTGCTCTGGGTGGACCTGCTTTGGCAGGGGGTTGGACTGGATGATCTCCAGAGGTCCCTTCCAACCCCATGTGATTCTGTGATCTACTGTCTCTTCACATGGCTCAAAACACCCAGCACTCTCAAGGAGGGGCAGCAGCACCTAAAACACTGCACAACTGCTACTTTAGAGAACATCCACAGAGGAACACGGTCACAGCAGAAAGAAGAAGTGATGATCCTACAGATGGTCCTGCATTTTTCAACAAGCTTTATACTGTACTTCATACCTGAACCCCTCTAACCACCTGAGGCAAAACAAATGAGTTTCGCAAGGCTTATTCAGTGAGCAATCAAGCAGCTGAACAGTTTTCCATGTAATTCAATGCCGACCCTGTCAAATGCACTCAGAAATACAGACAGCATCTGAAATGTCCTTCACATGGTGAGTGCATGGACTGGGAGAGAGAAGGGAGGCCCAGAAAAATTAAACTGGTCCAGGTATTGTGAAAGGGTTGTGTTGTGTATTGAATGCACAAAGGTGACCAAGCTTCTGAGAGTGAAGATGCTGCTCACAGCCAGCTGGGCTGCTCTAAATGTCCTTGCTTGCACTCTCAGCTTTCTCCAGCTGTGAGCTGAAGTGCACTGGCTTCAACTTGAGTGAGAGATGAACAGCAGTGGCGATTCAGCCATGAGGGTCATTTCTTAAGCTGCTGAAACATTCAATTATTTGATCACTCCCTAAGAAGAAAACCTAACTTTGAGCCCGAACTCACCACCAGCCAGATTAGCCTGGAGTGCAAGTAGGGATATACATGTTCTGAAATTTTCATAGCACTTCAGAAAAATTCTCTTCCAGGGATTGCTCAGGAGAGAACACGGTTGGACAGTTGCTGAGCCAAGGGTGGAAAGCTGAGGAGGAGGTGTCTGGGAGGAGTTGTTCCATCCTTCTCTGCCAGTTATTAATGCCTCAAATGTGCACTGCTTTGGTAAACACATCTTCTGCCAGCTCCATCCATCCTGCCCAGCTTCCTGGCACACAGATTTGGGCAACCGTTCTTCTCTTTGGAACAATCACTTGCACTCCCACACATACTTCCTTAGTTGGAGTTTTCACATTAAATCACTAAAGGTACAGAATCTACCCATTTTAAAAGACTATATAAAAATGAATATGTATTTATGCACACACACACACACATATGCACATGCACTTCTAGCCCGAGAAGCTTGTCTGAACCCTGAAAATTTCAAACTTTCTCCTTCTGTTTCTTGGCAACTGAAAGCTTGAATTAATTTTCAGGGCTGTCTCCTTTATCCCAAGCTTCTTCCATCTGCCTGTTAACATTCTCTTGCACCTTCTATCTTCCTGGCTCCAGAGTAGCCCTGTATCAGAAGGGCAGATCTAACACCTCATAGTGCACTGGCACTTGCTGCACAGCTCTCACCGTACCATTTAGGTCACACACATTACTTGAGGATGTCAGAGTCTTGGCAACACGCACCACCACGTCACGCTGCCGTTCAACTGGGCTGCCATTTGTTTCCTAACAGCTTACAGACATCACTAGCAGGAAAAATGGAAAAGGCAGCCTGACATCACCCTCATGAAAGCAGGTCGCAGGTGCAAGAATGCTCTGATCACTTTTAATGCTATTGCTGTGGGACCCACAGCAGCAGCTAAGACAAATGACTGCAGTATTTCATTTGACTTATAGCACGATTACTATTTATACGTTTAGATGCTAAAAGCCCAAATAAATCTGTTAATGTTAAGAATGAACAATGATTTTAACTCTGGATCTTACATACTGGGAAAGGCCATCAATTTGTTAAAACCCAGAACCATTTAGACATAATCATGTCCCTTCTGATAATACTGTAGCTGCAGACAGTAACAGCTGTTACAAAGCTTCCTGACATTCCCTTCGCTTCATTTTCAGCTTATAGTTTTCTACTTCTTTAGCTTCTTGGACCAACAACATATTTGCAGTGGGTACACCTCCAGGCTTTCTGTTGTTGAAAATCTCAGCCCAAATGTTGCTGTTGCTACAGAACACAGGAGCAGAGAAATTATAGCACATTTCCCTCTGAAAATACCACACTTCACAATAAGGACTTGAAATTTAACATGGGAGAAATGCTGTCAGGGAAATACCCATTGCTGTAGCCATATATATAGCAACTGTCAAAAAACCCCATAGCTGGAAAAATCTCAAAAGAAGCTTTAAAAACCCCATAGCTGGAAAAATCTCAAAAGCTTAGATTATAGTACCTAAATTCACCAGAGACTTCAATCGGCCTCAGGCTGAGTAACACTTGGTGGTTTTTTTAAGTACTAAGTGGGAAATGTCTTAGATTGAACAGAAAGGAAAGAAAGAAATGTCAGACTTGTGACTCAGCACAGTGGGAAAAGCTTGTTCTGCAATACATCCAGCCACTGGATGGGAGAGGCTTGCTTCATGTGTTGTGGAAGCTGGAAGAGTAGGATAACAAGGCAGGGACCTGCAAGAACCATAAGGAAGGTCACACACTTAAGGCAGAAGGGTACTGCCCTCTAAGAGGTGGAATCTGTCCCTGTCCCTCCCTCCATAAAAACAGTCCGAAAATGAAATAACTGATCAAGGACTAGGACTGCCTTTTCTAGAAAACAGAGACAACTTAAAAGATCATTAACTCAAGAGTTCGGCTACTGAACAAAGAAGTAGCTGTATCTTCTGAAATTCCCTTTCTATCAGCAGCTGCAAATGTGTGAAAGGGAGAAAGCAAGGAGCTCAAGCACTGAGAGCCACTACCAGACCTCCTAAACTGGCAAGTTTATGTTGCTTTACCACAGTTGTGAGTAATGGTGGCTGCTGAGTAAATAGTTTCAACTTGAAACAAAGGCATTCCTTCCTTGCCATTCAGTAATAGCACATTTTTCATGCCAAAACTTTTTTCTTAGTTTATGAAGATAAACCTAACCACAGAAGCTGACATGCATAAAATATAAAAAACTTATAAATAGAAAAAATATAAAATATTATAAAACTATAAAATCTTATAAAATATAAAAAAAAACTAGTGGAAATTCAGAGTTAGTTAAATAACAGGAATCAGTCATAAGAACTGAATGGTAAAAAAAAAACAAAAGGCAAAAGAAACCTCATGGATTTAGTCCCCCAGTAAAAGGTTACACTGGCATTTCTGAAGAATGATACAGAAATGGGTACTTTGCAGCACGTACCGAATTCCAGAGGGAATCCATGAAGATTTGCTATTTCTCTTGGGGTAAAGTACCTCAGTTTTAGCGTCGACAATTTCATAAGCTTCTCTTCTTCTGGTAACTCCTCAATGTGTTTAAACACTGATTCAAGCTATGAAAAATAGCCAAAACAACAAGTATCACTGATGCAGGCCAAATATGTAAAATTTAACACTCACATAGAAACAACATTTCTTTAATTATCCCAGTGCTAAAGACAATAACGTGTTTTGCTTGAAAGTATGACTGGTGGTATATTTTTGTAGCCAGTATCTCAACACATGGACTTGCAAGAAAGAAATCAACGTTGCCATGAGGGCATTCATCATTTCTCCCTCCAGTTACAAGCTATACCAACACTTAATGAGGCAAGCAAAGGACTACAGGCATTTGTTAATGACAGGATAGTGACTTAATGTAACTCCATAGCAGCCCATCCCCACAAATTAAGCTGTATGGATGTAGCTGTTTTAATACATTCACTTTGAGATTATCCTGAATTCCAAAGCTGCCTCCTCCTTGCGCTTAGAAATGCCATATTGTGTTAGTGAAGGGCAGGAGAAGGTGCAGGAGGAGGTGCTTGTGTACAAAACAGCCTCTATGAAAACTCTCTTTGAATGGTGATTCACCGATAGATTTATTTTTACCTTCCCCAATGCCAAAATACCACTTAGTTCACTTTGTGGTGAACTTAGTATTAACAGTAGAACTTTTCCAAATACTACGTCTTCCCAGACAAATAACACTTTTGAAATTCAAACATGTTAAACATTTGACAATATTTACTGGATCATCTGGGTACAAAAAACGGCCCTAGATTCGCAACACTCTACTGCAGTTTATCCATAGAATTAGTAATTTTTTAATGCTTTCACATATCCCTCTGAAACCTCTGACACTACAGATAATAAAATAATAGCAAATCTTATACTCCACTGCAAGAGGAACACAAAATTTTGATTTAAATCAACTATTGTTTAGGAATGAAAAGTAAATGGATTGGAAACTCAGTTGCCACAAATGTAGTTTCAAAAACCTTTCTGCTACAATATTCAGAATAACAAAGCAGAACACAAAAAAACCCCACGAGTTTTAAACCAAATCATACTCATATGTTAGTCTGCACATTCTTACCTGTACATCTACTGCTGTCTGCAGAACAGAGCCTGTGCCTTCTACATAGTGTCCATACCTGAACAAACAACAACAATCTTAAATTAATATTTTCATGGGGCCTCATAGAGCTGACAACTGCAAAGATGCGGGCGGTTACTTAAGTTCCTTTGCTTTGATTAACAAATAGCCTCCTGGATAGATAAAGCAAAAGGCCTTGTTACTAACAATGCCAACCTTTGGAAGGCAGTACCCTATGGACAGGTTCTCTAGGGAAGAGTCTGCAATCAATGCATGAGGGTTTATCCACACTAATGCCTTAGAAGGCAATTATACAAGGCCAAGGAATTCAAGCACAGCATCATCAGATCATCAGAAAGGGCCATCTACATTGCACAAACCAATTTTACATTAAGGCAAAATGTATTAAAGGCCAAGTGGTCCTAGGGGACCTAACTCTCTGTATTGAAAGGAGGACCATTAGTGTCAGCCTCCAGCAATCCATTAGGAACAAAGTGGTTCAGTCACATTTAACTTCTGGTTGCTCGTGCCTTTTCCAAAGAGGGAAGGGATGGGGGATGGCCAGGCATCTATGCAGAGCAGTAGAAGAAAGAAAGAAAAAAATTAAATCCAACTAAAGAGTAAGCAAATTTACATTCTAAAACGATATGATAGCTTTTTTGGATGCTTTGTGGTTGATTGCATAACATGTTTACCTTGTAGTCTCTTCCAGACTTAATTATATTTAAATATAATTACAGACCTTCAGAAACATGTTCTGCTGATCTAACTATGACGGTTTTCGAACATCCTAAACAGAAAGAGACTGAGTCAAGTCAACAGATGGCTTTTGCACAGTGGAAGAACTTTGGAAGATCCCCCACATTACAGTGATCTGGTCTGCAACCATTAAAAGACACTGTTCTCTAGATTAATCTGTGCATCTGTAAAGTCAGTTATAAAGGTCTTTTGCTCCACTTGGGGCCCATTCTGAAGCAAGGCACCAGAACAATTTTTGTTTCTAGCCTTTCTCATCCCTCTCCCTTCAGCACAGACACAGTGACCAACCCTGGCGCAATCTTGAGAATTTCTTTTTCAGTTGGAAAAGCTTACGAGTAGTCCTGCCAATAGCAGGGAGGGCAACACTCATTTTAAAATAACATGCTTACAAATACTCCTTAGGATCAGAACAAAAGGCCCTAAACACTGATGGAGATTAAAAACATACGGAATCAAACCGTGTTGTAAATACATCACCTTTAATTGATTAGCTGTGTTCTGAAAACGCAGCAAGTTTAACAATATAACACACAAAGCACTGAGAAATACTGATGATCTTATACAGCATTGGATCGTATTTCAGATTAATAGATCTGAGCCAAAAGAAATACATGAGGTTAATTTTAAGGCGGTATTTTAGAGGTTTATTTGGAGAAAAGAATCTTTTAATAGGATTCATGTTATATAAAATACTCCCCTAAATAACTAGAGTACAGAACTCCTCACAAAAGAAAAATCCAGCTGGTGTAAAAAATGGTTTGGGGTCGGGGGAGCGTGTGCTGGTTTTTATAACACAAATGTGGGCAAATAGCCAAAGTCAGCTGGCCCGTTATTATTATTCTAGCTGCTGACTACAGAAAAATTAACATTCCTACCTTAGACTCAGAACATAATTGAACATGGAAATATCTGGCACAGTAAAAAAAGATGCATTGATTTTCTGACATTTTACTACCAGATATAATGAAAGAAGTTGGCTTAAGAAATTACAGTCTTCCATTTTCATCCAACTCAAGATTTATTTTTTCCTCCTCCATTTCTGTAAGCTTTAAAAAAAACTTTTTAATTTCATACACATAATATATTATTTCTGGGTATATTGTGTCCTATATTCTGACTAACAAAAATTTAATTTCCACAATGCTAGAGATAGTTTCTGTAACTAATATTACACTATTTTAGAAGGCATTGCTTCTCTTGCCAACAGCATAGCAAGAATTTACAAGTCCAGAATGATTCTATCTAAAGAAGTATTTTTCATTTGTTCTGTCCTTTAAAATGGACGATTCCCTCTCACAACTTCAGTCACCACAAACATACTCCTGAGAGAAACCATGGCGTCTGTAGTCTCAAGGAAATCCACAATCATTTTCAATTGCCTAGGAGTCTAAGGTCATAAGGAAACATGGGATCATCTGCTCAATCTCTTGTCACAGGCCGTTACATTTTGCCCTCTGCTCCAGCCAAGCCTTTCAGAAGACATACCAGCATGACAAAGGCAGAAAGGCAAAAACCCCTGCTAAAATACTGGTGTTTGTGATCCCTGAATTAGCAAGGACTGAGAAATGCATACCTGGATTTATCCTAATCACACAAACCTTGCTGGAAATATCTGAAGACCAGTCAAAACTGAGGGAAATTTTTCTCCCAGTCTCCAAGCTGATGATCAGTATGACTTGTCGTACAAACGACAAGACCAGAGGAAATGGTCTGAAGTTGCAGCAAGGGAGATTTAGATTAGATATTAGAAAGAACTACTTTACTGAGAGGGTGGTCAGGCCCTGGAACAGCCTGCCCAGGGAGGGGGTGGAGTCACCATCCCTGGAGGGATTTAAGAAACGTATAGACATGGCTCTTCAGGGCATGCTCTAGTGCCCAAGGTTATTGGTTTATGGTGAGGTGTTGAGTGTGGGGGTTAGTTGGTGGGTGCGGTGTTTTTGGTGGGCGTTTGGTGTGGTGTGGTGTTGGTTGTGGGGATTTGGGTTTTTTTGGGTTTTTTTGGGGTTTTTTTTTTGTGGTTGGACTCGATCTCAGAGGTCCCTTCCAACCACTAAGATTCTGTGATTCTGTGATTACAAGAAAGACAACAGACAGGCACCTCAGCAGAGGGATTCTTTCTACTACTTGGAAGTGCTGTTCTGCTCCTTTTAGGGTCCTCCTTCCTAAATTTCATGCTTCAGAGAAACACAAAACCAGAACTCCTAGAACACATACATCAGCAACTTATTCTTCAGAAAGTGACCTGGATGAAGCCTGAGATGTGATTATCATCTTTTTCTTAATGAAAAGCTGTAAATGATATGACCACAGTTGAGAACCGTGTTGGAAACCTTCCCTCCCAAAGGCTCTTAAAAATGGGAACAAAGACAGTAAATTAGATTCCTACATTTTGAGCCAAGAAGAACTACCACAGCTATCTGGCCTGGTTCCTCCCACATCAGCAGAAGGGCGACAGTCACGTTCCACGTCAGATTTCCCACCGCTACATACAAAGCCTTCCCATTAACTCCTCAGGAGCCTCCTTCAGGCTGATTTTGATAAATATGACCACAAACTACCATAATGTATTCTAGCAAAACCACAAGTGGCCAATGTATTTTTGACGACACCTAAGGCATATGTGAGATACACAAGGAATCATTCTGGCCTAAGGTTTTTATTTGACTATACTAGTTCAGAAACAGATCCCATGAGACACCGACTCCCCCACAACTCAAAAGATTGAGGGCATCTGTCAATGAGAGCTGGGGGAAGGGCTTTCCTATTGCACAAATTTTGAACTTTTGAAATGCTTTCTCCTCTCAGCTTTTTTTATTGTCAAAAAGTTGAAATTACAAAATCTGCAGGAACCCTGTCAACCTGGCAGTCTAATGTCTACTGATTAGAAGAAAAGTTATAATTAGCTTTAACTCATCAACTAAGCTGTTTTGTCGAAACATTCTGAGAATTCAAAAAAAAAAAAATCTAATCTGAAAAATTCACCAATACTCCAACTGGCATTTTCCAACACAAATGCATTCAGTGCAAAAGCTCTTGACCGGTTTTCTGTGGGGTTTCAGAACACTCAACAACCTCCAGCAGTCAAACTTGAAATTTCAAAGTACAAATCAGACAACGACTAGACAGAAAAGCACTGATGTTCTGCACCATCAAACAGGATTTGAAACGCAGCAGCTTAACTGGTTTTATGACATATGGCCAATCCACAGCTATTCTGACCTCCACAGCTGAAAACTCCAAGAAATCGATAAAACATACAGTGGAGACAGTTTTAATGAGGAATGGATCTGTCATGCATGAGACTTTGTAACTTCATTGAGCAACATAAAAAAATTCATTAATGAATCAGTACTATACCAGTCTACTGGAACCATATTTCCGCAGGGGTAATTAAGCTTCTGTGAAGGTCAACAACAAATGGCACTGTCTTTTGTGAATGCCTTTTTGGAGTGGGCACATGATGTTCTGCCAGACAGATTCTCATGCTGGCATTCCACTGGACCAGGAAGCACACTACATAAGGAGGTTTTTTTCTCCAGAAGCCTGGAGTTTTTTTGATGAAATGGCCCTCCTTGTTCTTACAGTACACAAGTATAAACACACTTAAAATTTCAGGACATGCAAGACATCATCTTTGCAGCTTACCCTTTTGTAAAGCATGTGGATCTGCGGCAGGTAGGTTTAACGATGTCTAACAAGAAAGCGTAGCGCAATAAGGACTTTGGCGGTAAGAAATACTGACTCATTTCTTCCTTTTCCTCTTCTAAGAAATCTTTTAACATTTGAATAGAGGAATCATTGTCCTGATCACGTTTCCTTTCCATTTCCTCTACTGTTTCAAGCTTAAAAAGAAAAGTTCCTTTTGGTAAACTCGTCTTGCTGCTGCAATCAGGACCAACATTTGGATCCAGTTTCTTCTCTTCAGAAGACGAGGAAGAAATAGCTTCATGCACTTTGCCAGCAACTTTGTCCTTGACTAAGCCTTCTAGATTCTGATCTGGGAATCTTGTCAAAATCTAGGAACAAATTGTGAGAATAATATTAAAGAACTGCATTTGATAAACAACTTGAGAGCTGACTCTGCAGTGAAATAAGAATTCCTTCAGAGATGCTCAAAATAGAACCATAGAATAGAATCATAGAATTGTCCAGGCCGGAAGGGACCTCCAAAGGCCATCTAGTCCGACCCCCCCACAGTCAACAGGGACACCCCCAACTAGACCAGGTTGCCCAGGGCCTCGTCGAGCCTCACCTTGAATATCTCCAGGGATGGGACCTTAGCCACCTCCCTGGGCAACCTGTGCCAGTGCTCCACCACCCTCATTCAATGCTATTTTCATGAAGATTGCAAAAACGGTTAACATCAAGATGTGCTGACCTACCAGCAATGATGTCAGGAACAACCACAAATAATTGCCTTTGCAAAAAGACCTTTCCAAGGGTGTGAAAAGGGTAGCAGAATACATTGTTTTCTAGCCTACTAACAGCCACTGACCCCCAACTATTTAGAGCCATCTAAGCTGCTGGCATGCATTTCAGTCCTTAGAAAACTTAGTATTAAGGCTGAAAAGAGAGACAGAATTAAATTCTCTGTTGATACCTCTCCATTCATCAACACACACCACTACACTGAAAATTTAGCACCCAATCTTCATGAAACAAAGCAAATTCAAGTACCACTAACGGACTCACCTGACCAGGAGCTTGAAAGGAAAATGGCTCTTGGTGAAGCTTTGCAATTAGAAAGTATCGCAGCCTAGAATTGGGAATGCCAAGCTGTAAGGAAAATCCACAATCCTTTAGTCCATGTGATAAAGAGTGGTCTACAGTGTCATACAAGTTATCTACCATTATATACACTAATAGAACTATGCCGCACAAATATATATCCTAAACATTTATAACTTCTGTGCCTAGGTATTTTCAAGGAAACAAGTGGGTAATTATTCTTTGTACCTCATTGTTTTTGCTTTCTCTGTAATTGAACAGGAATGTAAACAAACTTTTGTGCAAGGTAAGAAGAAAAACACCATGCCTCATGATTTCTTGGGACAGGTACTACCCGTTTTCTTTTAAAAAAGCAAAAAGGCATCTCCTTGCCTTTTTAAACAAGGAATTATCAGACATCTAATAATGAAACAAATGCACCTCAACTGGTTTTCAAGCTACCCTCTATCAGCTTCTCTAAGATATATACAGTACTTCACCGATTCCACAGTCTTGTATAACCTGAAATCTCTGTCAACTCTGTTTTCAGTTGCCAGGGAAACAGGCAAACAAAGCCCCTCCTCCCCCAAATGACACAGTCACATTTTCTGTGCTGGGAAATCCACAGGCATCAGCACTTCCAAAGCAATGAGGCTCCTGCAGGGAAAACCACCCTCCCGGTCATGATGTAAGTTCATGCCTTCTTGAATAATATCAAATGGTAGGAAAGCAATATGGGACCAGGAGCTGAACAAGAACAACAGTATGATTTTGCCAGGACAGTGAGGAGAAATCAGGAGTGACGCTTTTCATTCAGAAGAGTATGCTCTGGGCATGACTCTCTTTTCTAATGCAGTGGATCACTTGAAAATGTTTTTGGGCTCAGCGCAGTTTGAACAGTTAAATCATGTTAGAGCAATTTTAGTACTCACACAGGTTGGAGACAAGAGAAATTCTTGATATTGAAATCCACATGATTCTAGTGTTTGCAAAAGTTCATTTCTGGCAGTGAAAAAAATCAAAAAGCAATTACTCCCTTCAAACAATCCTTAGGCCCTTTTTAATCTTAAATAAAGTCATTAAATGCATCACCTTAGGTACCAAGACATTCAGCACATTCAGTGAAAGAACTGTACAGAGAATTACAGATAACAAGTCATTCATTTCTGAACTTGAGGAGACAACACACCAAGTTCAGTGTTGGCACAGCCAAAAATGACACATTCTCGGGTATCTCACACCTACTTTGGTGCAAACACTCCTTCAAAAAATATCCCATCTCTAGGAGAGTACTTATAGCATGTTAACAAGGAATATAATCAGAGGGCAAGACATTCTCTTTACTGTGAATTATAAAACAAGAGATTAAAACAACTACAAATAGCTCACTACTCTGTTCCCATTATTGGCATCAGCTAAGCCTAACAAAAGGGCTAACTCAAGGGATGACAAAAATTGGTGGCTGATAATAACAGTGAGTTAGGACTGTACTTCATAAACAATGGAAAATCACTGAAATTGAAACCTCCTTAAAAAGAGGTTTCCTTGCCTTTTCTATTCCATGCAGGCTGCACTAGGTTGAACTATACAGAAAGCATGAGCTGTGACCCGTCCCTGACACTGTAAGTGACACCACATTCCAAGCATTGTAAGAGAAAGCAAGCCATCTGACTGGGGGGTTTTCTGAACTACAACTTGTTCCACACACTGCCCAGCAAGGTGTAGCCTTGGGAATCACAGCGTCCACAGCAGCAGCCTGCACCTCCAGCAGTGCCCAAGCCTTCACAGAAGACTGCTGCCCACCTGAGCAGTGAGAGAGCTGACCGTGTCTCCCAGCTGCCTGCCGTACTCATGAAGGACCATGCTGTGAAGGGTAGGTGCTCTCTTTCAGGAATGCTATGGAAAGATCCTACTTTATTCCAGCAAGAAATGAGAAGGAAGACCGTAACTCTACTCTGCAGTGGTGAGGCCACAACTGGAGTACTGCGTCCAGTTCTGGGCTCCCCAGTTCAAGAGGGACAGGGAACTACTGGAAAGAGTCCAGCGAAGGGCAACAAAGATGATTCAAGGACTGGAGCATCTCCCTGATGAGGAAAGACTGAGAGAGCTGGGACTCTTTAGTCTGGAGAAGAGAAGGCTGAGGGGAGACCTTATCAATGCCTACAAGTATCTCAAGGGAGGGTTGAAGGAGGAGGGAGCCAGACTCTTTTCAGTGGTTCCCAGTGAGAGGACGAGGGGCAACGGGCACAAGTTGGAACATAAGAGGTTCCACTCAAATATGAGGAGAAACTTCTTCACAGTGAGGGTGACAGAGCCCTGGAACAGGCTGCCCAGGGAGGGTGTGGAGTCCCCTTCCTTGGAGATTTTCAAGCCCCGCCTGGATGCTCCTGAGTAACATGCTCTGACAAGCTCTAGGCAATCCTGCTTCAGCAGGGGAGTTGGACTAGATGATCTCTATGGTCCCTTCCAACTCTAAAAAGTCAGTGAAATTCAGTGAAATTCAGTAACCTCTTGTCTCCTGCTCTGTCCGCAAGAGAGGGGAATACTCCTGCCGTTATTAGGTACCCTCACTGACAACCTTCCTCTTCCCCATTTCAGACAAAGACTATACAGAGTTTTCATACTGTATCTCTGGACCATTTGATGGGAATCCTGAACCAGGGATAATCTACTATCAGCAGAGGTACTGAAGTAAGCCTCTACGTACTGTGATCTTCACACAGTACACCATGGCCTTCTGTCACAGATAAAACCCTAAAAACTTCAAGTACTATACCTACTGTTATTTTTCTTTAAAAATTAATATTGACCCTTTCTAAAGGACACACGATCATCAAATAATATCAATGGAGTCTATTTGTTATAACATATTATCTGCTTATAGAAATAAATACTTATTTAGCATGTTCCTTTCACAGTCTAAGACTTCCATTTCTAAATTGAAGCAGTATTTTTAACCCACAGCTGCCAGGTGTCCCATCTCACTGTTTTGCCAACTTAAATTCTAGGAAATGAAAATCCTGCCTTCCCCTTCTAAAGAAGATGTCCTTTATTGAAAACCTGCATAAATTAGACTTTACCTCGCAGAAGAGGATTCAAATCCTTTAACATTTTCTAAAAGTAAGTACTTTGGAAGCTTCTGGAGCCTACAAGGAAAAAAAGAGAAAAGATAAAAAAATCAGAGGAGCAAGATGTAAGCTACATTATATTCATCCACAGATTTGTTTAGCTATAAGAAAGATCATAGTATTTCCACATGATGCTAGCTGTCAAAGTTTAGCATCCTTAAAAAAAAGTACCTCAACTTTCACGGTTGCCCAGATCCACCATTCCCATCTGAATTAAAAATGTGGACTGCTTGGAACTATAAAAACCAACAAAACCCACTTATGTTCAGATCAACTGCTGTAACCTCCTGTAACCCATGCATGTACTTCTGAAAATGCTTACTGCTGTTCATTTCCTAAAGCATAAGATTATTATTCAACAGATTGAGTTTGTAATAGGAAAGATAACTGTCAGAACAAAAGAGATTACTATTTAGCCATGGAACAGAAAACTTTTGTTTTAAAGTGCCTAAACCTGAAATCAATGTCAGAATGTCATATCAACTTTAGTGATAACACATCAGAACCAGAATTCATCTAATTGCTTTAATAAATACAACATGTTTAGAGCTCAAACTGTAGATAGTACCAATTTTCTATACTTAACTTTTTCATTTAGGAAGGGGAGGGGGGAGAAGGGGGAAAGGAGTGCCTGAGGTTTAGCAAGATCAGTGCAGAGGTCTGGAAATAGGCTTTTTCCAAAACAGCACATAAAAATCTCTGGAGAAAGGAACACGCCCAACCTCTGCCAGGGACCCTTCTAACAATTTAGAAGCACTGGTGATTCAGATTCAAGTCTCTGGGCACATTCCCTGGCACTGATTAATTCTCTAGTAAGGCTAATGTAGGCATAGTGTGTTTGTCACACGCTGGGATCTCAGAACAACATCTAGAAAAAGGATACTGACTAGGCATAGTGTGTTTGTCACACGCTGGGATCTCAGAACAACATATAGAGAGCAGAGAGCAGTCCCATGCTAATTTAAATCAGTAAGTGACTTTGGACTTCCACCTGTACAAATCACAGCAGAATTTGTTTTAGCGTGTTCTTAACTACCATTAATTAAAGACGTTTACATGAAGAATTAAAGAACTAAAGCACTTCACAAGAAATAGGAAAATGTACAAGATACTAAAAGCTTAAAAAATTTAAAATTTAAAAATACTAAAAATAGCACAAAAAAAAAAAATTCTAAACAGAAAAAAGCAGCAGCAGCCGAATTTCCTGCAGAGCAATGGAGAATATATCTGTTGGTATTTTTACCCACACCCAACATCATCATCACTTACTACAAAACTGATTTTTAAAGTAATGAGTCCAAAGCATAGCCTGAAATGCAAGAGCTCATGCAGGATCAACAGATCACAAGACAAGTAATCGCGATACAAAGAGTGTGTGTTAAGTACTTGGCAGGTATTAACCTTACAAATGGGTCTGTAAAAGTAGCACTTTGGCATCTTAGCATTGGATTTCCCTGGGTTATGGCTTGGACAGGATAAACAGACAGTATCTGGACCATTTGGGTCAGACCCTCTTTGCTGGCTGAGCGAGCGCTCCAATGATTTCCCAAGTCTTTCCAATTCCTGAAATTGTCCTTCCCATATCTCTAATATTTGTCTTCCCAGGCTATCTTTGAGCTTCATTTAAGCTCCATTTCATTATAAAAGCCTGAACGTAAGATGGGAACAGCCAAGGGATAAGATTATTTTATAGTTTCCATAAACTGAACGCATGCTGTACCAATTTAGAATGCAAAGTGCTTAATTCCTATATTAAGAATTTCCCTTTTTTGGGCTGAAATACTCCGTACTCAATGTCTGGCAAACATATCATACCCAAAAAATACACAAACGCTATCTCAGTAAAACATAAATCTATTAGACCTGAGGAACGCTGCAGAAGCCACCATCTTGAGCCTATTACAGCCTGCCTTCAGTAAGTACTGCCTCCAGAAACAACCTGCCCAAGGGAGATAAGGGCCATCAGCAGGCTCTCATGGGGTGTTGAGATAAGTGCCACAGCCAAGCCCAGCTCCTTTGCATCGTCATGACGAGAAACACAGGTCCTGCAGTCTCCAAAGCTTTGGTTTTGAGAAGGAAAAGCTTCTACCCTTTATCCAGCTAAGCCCACAGCAACAAGGAAGCAATATTTCCATATTAACACACAACAGTGTCCCAAGAGCAGCCAGCTCCTTAGCTGTGTCCCAGTTTAACAGAAAGGAACACTGAGGTCAGGATTTTCTTAAGGATAAGGAAGGTACTATTATGCTGACAAATTATTAACGTACACTCTATTTGCTGTTTTTAATTTATCATTTTGAAAGGTCAATCTGGAGGACTGAACTCCATTCATTGTTCCAGAAAGATACCCATCCTATGCAACTTTTTTGTGTCTCTGCTAGAAATGGAGGAGTAATAATAATAATAATCCTTGGTTTTACCTATTAGTTGCCTTACTAGGCCACAGAATCTGCTTTATGTTCTGTTTTGTGTTCTTTGCCACAGATTTCTCAGGTGATCCCAGCTAAGCCACTCAGCCCTTCTTGTGTCTGTGTTCTCTATCCGCTGATGACAAGGGCAAAAATGCAGACCCATTTAATGTTGCTGGCTGCAAAAAAAAGTTGTTTCTGGAAGAAGGATGAAGACTCTTTTCTCCCACTGTTAAAAGAAAGGCTGTTGTCTGTCCCAGTTTCCTTCTGTGCAGAAAGTGTTCATTAAATAAACCAAAGGAAAAAAAGAGACAGGCAAACCTCCCTTCGTCTTCCTCGAATTCTGAAAGCAAGATTAACCAAGATTAACCAAGAAAGGAATCTAGAGCTGTCCCAGTCTCCAGCAGAAACAGGACTGCCAGGAATGGTGTCTGCTGGGCTGTAACCGATGCAAATCCTCAGGCTCATGCCAATTGGTGCCAAGGAACATCTCAATCCAGAAGCAGAGATTTCTGCTGGGTAACCTCCCTTAGCAACTGCTTGCTTCACTTCCCCAAGAAGGGTTCCTACACTGTTATGCATCTCTTCCTAAAAAAGACTATGAGCATTAACTGGAGCTGATTTTTAACACTCTCAGTAAGACCAATTTAGGTCAGCAAAACTCACTTTGTATGAATTTACTGTTTCAAAATTTAAGGCATAAATAACACAAATAATTATGGCTACTTTATTAGGGACTGGGGGCAAAATGACAGATCAATATAAATACAAGGGCACTGTTCAGACAATGCAGTTCTATTTGAATTCTTTAGTATTACTACTCAAAACAAGAGACTGTGTGTTTTTAGTTTGTAGCACAATCTGCCCCAAGATATCTGGAAGCAACACCAAAGATACAGAACAGACGCTTTACAAAAGAATGGAAGGGGATGTTAGATGTATCGTAATAACAAACCAGTAACTTATTTAAACAACCTTTCAAATGTTACCCATTCAAAAAGTGACTAAATGTTGAATCAAAGCTTTTTTTACCTGGTATTTCAAACAATTTTATATTTCCACTATGCCCATTAGCAAACTGCTGTATTACCTACTCCTGCTTCTACATAAAGTTAGTGCAAGTTTGATGTTAAACTTGTCAATCTTTTTTTTTCTATTTATGATATAGCCACAGTTTAAACAGACACACAATAAAAAGAGGATCAAACAATAAAAGCATATACAGTAACTATGAGATGATAGTGACATTAGTAAAATACAAGTAGTGTAAATTACATATGATCATGTGAAAATAAACAAGTAATTCAATAACAATACTAGTACTATACCTGTAAAACATTACAGATGACTTATCATTGAAATATAAACGAGCTACTTGGTTACAACAAAGGCTTAAGAACTGGGGTAGAAGTGCATTTATACCTTGGGAGAATATCAAGGATATAGAGAAAGCTCTTTGTCCGTGGATCGGTTACATCACCTCGCAGGCCGGTTCTAGGGAAGAAGAAAGAAACAGCCCCGTATGACTCAGAGCAGACTGACATTTGGCTTCTGTTTTTCTACAGAATCCTGACACGTTTGGCTTTGAGTTTCAAAAAGGGATTCTGCAAAAGCATGGTGTACAGACAGGAGGACCTGCGCACAGAGACAGTGTCCCAAGAAATGCTCCAAGGAATGAAAGCCTGGCCCTGGCATCCATCAGCTCACAGGGAGGTTAAAACTGAAGCATTCGCTAATGAAATCCACTCCCCACGTCTGCAAAGCATTTAGCATTCTGGGCTTGTCCAGCAAACTCCTTGAACATTCTCAGCTCTGAAAGAACAAAACCACCCCACTGGGCTCCTGGGAACACCCCGCTATTTTACATTGAATATATTAAACTATTCCTAGGAATTAAAGCCTCGGTGCTCACCATTTTACAGGACTGAGCCCCATGTGAGTAACTTTGTAACCAATTTTGTAACAATAAACTCAACAGCTCACGTAGGTTATAAAAACGATAATATAATATAACCATGCCAGGTGTGTGTTCCCCTAACTTATACTCGTATGAGCTCTTAAAAAAGAATAAAGCCTTGGTAGAATAGCTTTAGCACCTCTCTAAATTAATGAGACAGACACAGTTTTTAGTTTTCACCGTATTGTTAAAAAAATGAAATTAAAGGAATGATTCCTATACACATCATAGGTTTGCACAAATACATTTTTATAGATCAGCACGACTTTGGAGGGATTGCTTTTTAATCTTAGAGCACCCAATGTGATATACTTGCTTACACAAGCAGTTTCAACACTATCAACAGACTTAAAAATGGAAGTACTATTTTGCATAAGTATAGGTACTAGAGTCTTACCTCCACTGGTCACTGCTGCCAAACGATATGAATTTGAAACTAGTCTGACAATTAACACCTCAGGAAGTTCAGTTCGTTCTCAGCAAGATATTTCCCTGTATCATCTACAAAACCATTTCAAAGCCATTATCCTCCTAGTCTTGGTTAAAATAGAAATATTCCTCAGAATAAACTATTTGTGTGCACATACAATTTTCAAAGTACAAATAAAAACAGATTATAGTTTTAGTCTCAGGCAGAAGTAAGAAATTCCAATCCTCTTCCTGGAGTTGCTCCAGGAAAAGATTAGATTGTTATCTAAAGGGAAAAGAAGCACTCCTAAACAGCAAAATCTTTGAATTTCACTGTGAGAGGAATAATACAGTATACAAACTAAATGCTATGAGAAGCTTACTTAAACTGAATTAAAATCTACATTACAAGAAATGTGATCAATAATTAAGATTCAGATTGTTGCATTTCTTCCATCTCGGCAAACATAATGATAAACAGAGCTACAACATTTTTGCTTAGGAAGATAAAGATACCCACATGAACCACACATTGTGTCCCTCTTGAAAACATTCCTCCTCTCATAGTAAATACTGCAATACTGCGCTTTTGTCCAAAGTGGGCTATATCTACCTTGTAAATGGCTGACAGGGAGGACTCATCAAAATCATATCAAAAGATAATCTGTCAAATTCTTTCAGTGTTATGCCCTGAATAAGGAAAAAAAAAAAAAAAAGAAGAATGTTGAGTGTTGTAAACTGTATGAAACTCTTTAAGTCATCTTTCTGATGAAACTGCCCCTCTTCCACTATATGCTTCATCTAGCAAAAAACGACCTAAACTCCCATTTGACCTAATAATTTCAATCCTTTCTACCTTAGCAAATCATACAAGGAAAATATACATTAATTGCTTTGAATATGAAGCAAAACCACTAATGATGTTAGCATCTATATGTACTCTTGACATTTTTATCTACTCATTCTTTCAGAAGAGGTGCACAGTGGTTCTTTCAGTAGATCATATCAAAATACTGACTAGTTATTTCTCCCCATCCCTCCTCCAAATAAAGTACCATTATTCAGATATGAAGTCATTGTACATCAAAACCAACATTAACCTATTCAAAACAGGTGAAAAAATACTAGATCTTCTCAAGAGACAAAATATCTGAACAGAAAAGTGGCTCAAGTGTTAACATGACAATTTTTACTGGTCCAGACGGTGGGGTTTAACTCTTAGGAGCTCATTACCCACGCATCCTATAAAGATTACTTCATTCTAGCTTTTGTAAAGTAAAAATCACTCTACTCTGCAAAAATATTTCTGTTTAGAGAAGAAAGAATTATGTCTGTGTCATGAATTAAATGCACAAGTAGAAGTTCCTCTAGACTACATTTTAAACAACACTAAAAGAACAACATGCTAAGGGCCAAGAGAGGAGAAGAATAAAGAACAAGTAACTATGAGCTGGACAAAGAAATCACTGCCTTACATATTTTGAGAGAGATCTACATAGCAAATGTAAAATACCTGCCCACAGACTCTACACAAAAGCTGTTAATTTTTTTCCAATAAATTTCAAGGTCTTACTGACTGTAATTTGACTTTCTAAGGAGGCAATGGCAAGCATTCTTCTTCTTTTCCCATAATAAACTGTAAACTATCATTTACCCTGCAATTATTAAGTGCTGAATAAGCATTTAACCTTTAGCCACCTATTTAAGTCTACTTAAGCTGGTGTCTTAAATCCAATTCAGTATCTTTCACTGTCATGTTGTAAAACTGTAAGAGAAGATTAAGAAGTATACAGTAATTTCTAACTAAATCCAGGCAAAGCTACATGCCTCATTTGCCCCTCAGTTATTAAAACAAAATCCAATTTTACCTAGTTCTTCAAATAATTTTGAAAAGGGGCAGAATTCCTAAAACATTTCATCTATTAAGCCCACAAAAAAATGCACAACTGTGCCATTCAGTATATTTTCTTGTGTTTTACTGAGCTCAACTATAACTACAAAACAAAGGCATGCCTCCAAGTAATTTAATTAAATTCTTTCAAAATACATGAAAATATTTGTTTAATCTAAAGATATTATTTTTGTTATACCTTTACTGGTGGTAAGTAATACCCTTTCACATAGCTTTTCTTGAGGCAGCAGTCAACACTTCCAGGAAAAGACTGCAGTATGAGCATCCCTCTAACTTCAACAAGCAACCATAACACAAGAATTCAAAGTTATTGTAAAACTGCTATATTCATAATGACATATATTAAATCTTTTTGTTTCTCTTGTTACTAATAAGGATAGGGAAGACAACTCACTTCCACAAATGCCAGACTAGAGTAAAAAAGACAGTCGTTACTCACCTCAATTGTCTTTGCCCATAATGGTGTGCTGGGAAAGTTGTGCTTATAAACTTCATTGGCAAGAGTGTTCACATCAACAGCAGCAACAACTTCTGCAGATATGCAGCTTTCTAAAATTAAAAAAAGAATTTGAAAACTGTAGCTTCTCTTTACTACTCTCTTTCTAAAATTAAAAAAAGAATTTGAAAACTTCTCTTTACTTCTCTTTACTACTCTTGGAAAAATGCATTTGTTCAATTGTGGTACAGCTATGCTCAAAAATAAAAGGGAAATAATATCATCAAACTTTGCTGTGTTGCCTTTAAAACTTTATATGAAAAATACACTGTGTTTCTAATCGTACGGCAAATACTTCCCTGCCTTATATATCCAAAACAGAAGCTAACTTCTTAATTTGTAGATACAGTCACACAAACTCCAAATAGGGCACATCTCTACAATGCCTTCCCCCACACTTCTGTTTTCAAAGAATTTAATTCTCTGTGGCCACCAAGCTCCTTAGCCATAGAAATGTAGCCTGAGTCAACCTGCAGAGACATCCTGCTGCTGCCTGAACCTCTCCAGCCACTGACAACTTACAGGAAGTAACTGTGTCATTTTAGAAGTATATTACTTCTCATTGTGATAAAACTGCACCAATAAATATGTTGAGGTATGTCTACTCTTGCAATAAAAGTTTAAGAAGCTGCCCAAAAAACATTTGTGCTTATATTCCAATAAAACCTTGGGCCTTGAACTCAACTGCTGCCTCCTTTGAGTTCAATGTCCCCAAAGTACCAAACATTTTGAAGGACACCACCTGGCAGCTCCTCTTCTCTTGATATCAAAGGAAGTATTTCTGGATGCTTAGCAGTGTTATTGAAAAGAAGAGACCACAGTGTAACAAATCTACTGACAGCTAAAATCCTGAAAGAAAAATACACTAAAAAGAATGTAAATAAGCAACGGTTAATTTATAGAGTAACAGAATAATAGATTCTACAGAAGCTAAATACATAAAAAGAACAGTGTTTAATCCACTGCTCAGCATGTGACACTATTTATTATTATTAATCACAATACCTTCACTGAGGCTTTTATCAAGGGAGATAGGCTGCGGTCACTGCTACAGCCGCAGGCAGGGAACAGTGACCATACCTTCCTGATAGACAAGACCAGTTTCAACCACCAGAAAATCTACATTAGGGTCCTATTACAAACCCCCAGATGAAACCCGGGCGATTTAAAAAAACAAATTTTGTAAACCAAAAGAAACAAGGCAAATAGCCATATGCCTTTGAGCAGTCGCGCAACATACTCAAGTAACACATTAACAAATGACTTAGTGAAACACCTTATTAATTAGTGCTAGTCTGCAAATTATTTACAGTTTGAAAGTATGAAAACCCAATTATGATGTCCCCAGTGGACTTAATTTTGAGTGATGCATTTATCACCCACCTACTATCTTTCAGGTTTTCACAGCCATCTTATGCAAAACTAAGATGAAAGAGAAATCTGGGTATTAGAGAGATTGTAGCAGATATTTTAACAAAGGTCAGCCTGGTTCTCCTGGGTTTATTTGGTGAAACAGGGAGTAAAAAGGAGTTTCACAAGAAAAATGTTTACAGACAGCCACCTATTACGAGTCAACATACAAATCATTGTTTGCAGTTAATGCCTTGACTTCTTGACCATAAACTGTAACTGAAGTATCAAATACAGGTGTGTTCACCGCAGTTAATGCCTTGACTTCTTGACCATAAATTTGGTAACTGAAGTATCAAATCCAGGTGTATTCACTAGGACAACACAGTGACTACACCTGAGGTTAAGGAACAGGTATGTTAACACTGACATCTAGCGTGAAAAGAACGGCACCTGAGCAGCTCCACTCTCTCCATGTACAAGCCTATTCAAGAACCAACAGTTTCATTTGCCTCAAACAAAACTGTAACACCCGAGTAATGAGAATAAGCTTCAAGTAATGTTTAAGAGACTGCTTTTCTAATCTAGGCTTTCTGTTCTAAAACATGTGTTACAGGCCCTCTGGAGGGAAAAGAAAAAGGAAAAAATATAATCAAAAACCTCAAATTATTATCTAAATTAACACACAGTTTAAAAAGAACAATTAGAAAGACTGGCAGAGTGCTTTCTCATGATTCAGATGCTCGTCCTTTTTACTGGCATCAGCCCAATCTCTCCCTGCCTACACGCAAGAGAAAAGAAGTACTGAGGACTTGCACCAAACAACTTTACAGGCCCAAATGCCTGGAAATCCTGACAGACAGCATATAGTTCACAGTCTTTTATCGAATCCTCTTGCAAAACAATGTTCAGCCTAATCCAGAGATGTTAACCCACACGGACAGGAACTTTCCTGAACTGTTCCACCCGGCATCCTCTCTTCCAAATTCAAAGACCTGATAATTTTTTCAAAGCCTCTCCGCCTTTTCACTCAAAAGCTGTGCTCACTTTGGAGTTCCTGTCACACAGCAGACTCCCTCCAAGAGCTGATTAAGCATATTTGTGTGGAAATACCCTGGAAACACATGAAGGAGCTCGAGCAGGCAAGCGGATCTCACACATCCAACCTAACAAAGAAAAGCTTGTGTAAATTTCAAACAATGTGAAAATGACACATTTTTGAAGAACTTCTCCTGAAATTTAAGTAACTCTGACATCAAACTGATACTCCATTTTGCTATAGCAACTATACTTACGGCTTGAAAATGACTATAGGAATGTATCATAAAAAAAACACTGAAAGCAGAGTCTAAAAAAAACAGAATCAAGACTGTGTTTAACTATCCCCGCTGACAAAAGGCACAAAAGCAACTCAGGAACATGAAAATGCCCCTGAATTTGCTGACTTAGTGAGATGTTAAATCAACTCCCCAAAAGATATAGCAGAACTTCAACAGAAACAGACTCAGCTCTGGAAACATTGTTGGTTTTTTTTCCCCCCCAAACAAGTACATCCAACTTTCAAAATTTAAGAAAATTACAGCTACGCAGACAACAATTTAATTTTATGCAGACTAAAGAAAAAGTAATACACATTTTCTAAGCAAAACTACATAGGTGCTGGAATACATGCTTTGTGATATTCCTCAACACCACAGTTTTTGAGCCGAGACTTCACATTTCTGTACAAGATGTTACACCTCAAAAGGAAGCCACAGACACGAAGGGGAAGTTACTGAGGGAGGTGTTACAGCTTATTTTTAGGTAGACTAGACTGAAATACTCTCTCTTAGCTGAAAGCAGGTGAACTCAAATTTGCATCATCCTATTAGGAAAATACTGATTTTACACTTGAGTCTTAAAACCTCTAGGATCCACACAGCAGAAACTCTTTAACTGTTATTTAACTGCCTAAGGGTGCAGCAATCAAACTTTGGGTCCCAATTCTCTATTTTGCTGTATACACAATGTCTCTGAGCCATTTCAGCTACGTAGTAGTCATCTGAGGAAAAGGGACTCCTCTGCAATGACTGGAAGGTGCAGCATCTGAAGCAAAGGAAGACAAGATGTGTGCATTAACTGCTGACTTGGTAAAAAACAACCCCAAAGGGTGTCATCTTCAAACACCGAAAAGAAAATTTCTGACATTACAATATGTTTTTCCTCTTCAGAATCGATTCCTTTGTCATGTGTTTCTAGCAGACCCTAAAATTAACATAGATCTGTTTATATTCACCACTGTACTTTTGTAATAGAATCATCAATGTCAGCCGAGCAGATGAAAGACACAGCGTTACACCAAGGGCAGAGCCTGGCGGATCTCGGCGTATTGGAAAATCAAGGCCAGAACAATTATTATCTATTCTAACAGGTATATGGAAACAGATGGAAAAGGGAAGATTAGTCATATGTTTTGTCAGTCCTGTTTCCTTTTAAAACAGAGAGCAAAGATTTCACTTGGGGATTGTCAGCTCCCATCTGAAATGATTACACTGAACTGCCCACGGCTATCAGTAAGCTCCCTACTTGCTTCCTGCAGGATACTTAGCAACTTTTTTCACTGCTCTATTTGTACAGGATTTGTTCATGTTCAGCCATATAAACTATGCAAATTTGCATTATAGCACAACTGGCACCATCCTGTGCTACAAAGGGCCGTATTTTAGAGAAGCATTACATCAAAATGAGTTTAGGTGTAAAAAACTGCTCAAGCAGGCAATATTTTTGTTTTGCATTGAGCTGAATCCTAAAGCTGCTTGTTTTGTCTCCTTTGCCTCTCCTCCTGAGATAGCTATGCTCTGTGTAATTACACACACCTGTGTATTACGCTGTGCAATTGAAATAATCAAATAAAAGAATAAACAGAGAAGACTCAAATTCTTACTCCTTAAAATTGAAAAATAACAATTGCAGAGGAAAAATATCACCAAATTCATCACTGCAAAACTCCGGTATTTTTTAAAAGATGTCTCCGTGGGAGACTTTTCTCAGTGACCTGGCAGATGCTTGTGGCAGAGATCTGGAACCCATTTTTCATGGGAAAACTGCCTACATTAATAAACCAGTTTAAGTTTGTTTCAGTTGGGAACGGGGAAGAGCAGGCTGTTTGTTTGATGGAAAGTTGCTACGGAAATTAATTTGTAGCCATAGACTTTCTAAAAATAAAACACTGTATTTTTCCCTGCAGAAACTCACATTCACAAACACACACACATATATATGAAGCATTGTAGATTTAGACCTATACAATCTAAACATCAACCTTTATAAATCTCGCAAAGTTTGGAGCACAGGGTGGGAAGAAGGAAGAAATGCACTTCCATTTCTTAGTTACCTCAATCAAGAGCGTGAATACGAACAAACTCGCTGACCTCTGATATTAATCAAGCTGAACTTCCTAAATGTTATCCTTTTGCATGCCTTGCTGTTTAACTTAAAATACTATTAGAAAGCATTCAAATCCTGCATATGCTGAAGTATCAACACAGAGCTAGACAATCCCCAAGATTTTTCTTTTTCCGTTTTGGACTGAAATCTTCAGAACAGATGCCTTCTTGCTGTCAAAAAGAACTCGATTCAACTATGTAGGTATGTACCAATACTGATTCAAATATGTAAGTATGTACTAATAGCTTCTCCATACTGTTAATAGAGAAGCACTTGTAAGAGAGTATAAATTTCCGTGAATTTATTAAAATTCAGTTATTTCTTACTGCAGGTGAGGACAACCTCAAAAGCAACTGTACGCTATTAAGTGTCAAATGCATTTTATTTTAATGACAGCTGCCAAACGAATGCATATCCTCATGTTGTAAGCTCAAATATGTGCTATCCTAAAACTAAGTTTATGAAAGATTACAGCCAGAGAGGCTGTAGAAAAGGCACTGTCAGATTCCCTGGAAAATACCTATTTGCCAGTTGAAAATAGTGGCAATTTGACAGAAAAGTAGAAAGTTGGACCAGCTCTACTAAACGTAACTGGCCACGAAACTATCTCCATAACTTGGCCAGGAACCAACACTGAGCCAGAACTTGCCAAACCCCAGAATCCTTTTTGTAGAACAAGTAGCTTTCCTGGGGTGCTGCCACTGAAGCATTCCATGCTCTCTCTCTTTTCTATGTGTTTCTACTCTTTTTCTTGGCTGTATAGATTCCCTAGAAACCATACCAAGAAAATAAAGTATTATACCTCCAATCTTTAAATATGTTACCTTCAAATTGAAGTATTATCTTCATCTCTCAGGTATCGGGGGTATGAAAGCACCAGTGGAATGGAGGGCTTTCTTTCAAGCTTCATACTTACACAGAAAAAAACCCCACTTTTTAATATTTCTGTACTTGATTTAAATGGAAAATGCCAAAAAATCTGCCATTTGCTAAATGATATCCAAAAAACTGTACCAGAGGTGTTTTCAAATAGCATGGTTTTATGTACACATATAAGCCTAAAACATATAAGAAACCCTGTTATTATGTACAAAAAGTACTTCCAGAGGAACATTCACTTTTTCTGGTTTCATTTCCACATAAAAGCAAAGACTTAAATGGCCCTTGACTTAACTTTGTTCCTTAGAAATGGTAAAAGAAAACTGAATCCAGATGTTTAAGAAACTTAAAAAGATAAACCAGCAGAAAGCACCAAAAGGCCTGACTATATCACTATTCTTGAAAGTAATTCAATTCATCAAAATCAGTTTTGGATAATGACCTGTCATTAAATACTTATTTCAGTACAAATTGCATAGAACTCTTTTTATTCAAACTGCCTGATTATTAGTTTCAACAACACTCCAAAAAAGATTTTCATCTCAAAGCGTATGGTTTGGACTTTGCCCAAGACAACACAATGCCTATGGGCTGAGTTCTCATATGCTTCCCAGAAAAAGAAGTAACCAGTTTTGAAAACAAGTTATACCCTTTGTATACACTTTGTAAGTTTCAATTGGTATTTAACTATTTAGTACTATCTAGCATCATTTACACAAATAGTAATTTAAATCTCCTCTTACAGCCCCTTCATCAGCCTTGGCTGGTATGACTCTTCATACTGACTGTAATTTCTTTAGTCAAATGTAAGCCCAGAATAAGAGAAATTACAACATGCACTGACAGTGATGCATTTGATCGGCAAAGACAGAAACAGTAAGCTTGGAAAGAAATTTATCCTTTCAGGAAATACTACATGGGTTTTGGTTGATTCCTTCACCCTCCAAACTATGCAAGATATAACTGTGATACGTGCTCTCAAACCTTCACATGCACAGTAACTATCTACTGGATACAGGTTTACAGTATTCCAATAATCTTCTAAGGCTGCATTCCCCATATTCCTATTCTTTCAAGTATTTTGTTGCATTGTACATGATGCTTTCTTAGGTGGCCATCCATAGGATATCACATCTGGCATTATAATTTATTAACTATTGCAAAACATCACCAAACATTCGCAAGGCATCTGTTATTATGTTAAGAACAGAACATTCACTGAAGATTTGTTACATACAACACACCAACACATGGCAAATGCCAGAGTGGAGGACCATGGTGCAGGCTAAGTTCCAGGAACCAGTCCACTTTCTGTGCAAATATGGAAATCATCTATAACATGTAGATAGTTCCCCATCACTTCAGAAAACAGACTACTACAAAAGTAGGGCACTGCTACACCAGCTATATATATAATATACAATGGCTAACACCCTCTTTACAATTTCAGAAAGACTCCAAAATCTGCAGTTTTATACAAAGATATATTCTGCTCATAATAATCTAAGGATGTCTCTGGAAATAATGAAACCTACAACACAGAGCTAGGATTATTTACAATAATAATATGGTTACCTATTTCAGTACGTCACGTATTTTTACATATCATATATATAAAACAGGTATATGCATTCAAGTAAAAATTAGATAGTAGAAAAAATGCCGTACTGCCAATTGTGAATATGCGTTAAGTGAATGAACAATGCTAAATGGATTCTACTCTGTAAGCATAACCTTTTTAATATTACTCAGCTCATCGGAAAATCAACAAGGTAAGTTTTCACCTGATGTTTTTATGAAAATGTTCTCTGTTGTAGAGTGTAACAGAAGGGCTGCTAATGCTTATGAAAGCTGAAATACTTGAAAGATTGTAGTTACAAATTATTATGGTGATTCTCTTAAATTATACAATTTTTTGTTGAAATCTGTACTTCAAAAAGGTCCAGAGTACTTTCCAGAGATGATCAATAGCCCTAGCTCAATTTTTCATTTGGGGAAGCCAAGTCACAGAGCCTACAGGGCGTGCTGAAGGTCACCCAGGCCATGCTTTAACAATACAACAAATTCAGTTCCTTTTACCAAAACAAAAACTCTCCTGGGAACATGCTCTAGCATGAATTCACTGTAAGAGTTTTCATATTTAGAAAATGTTATACCAGTCTCTTACATGGGTTCACTGGGATACGTGCCACAAAAACCAAGGCTGCGTGCCGGCCTGTGGGATACCTGGGCTAATTTGCCAGAGTATCAAACTGTGTACCATTTGCAGCAGGTATGGGTCAGCACAAGACAGAACATGTAGTACCAAGCACAAAATCATGGCCTTCCCAGGAGCAGCTGCCTGGGCCACCGCAGGACCATGGATCCATGATTTCCACCCCAGGGCGCTCCTGGGCACCTTGCTGCCACCCAGCTGGCCACCAAAAATATCGGGCACTGCTCTTGTTTATAGCCATTGACTCACAACGTAAACACATCACTAGCCAAAATTCAGCTGCCTGTGCCCCTTTACACCTCGGCCTGTCACAGCAGGCCCGTCAGACACCCGCCTCCCCCGCCTCCCCTCAACACCAATCTCACCACCATAAGGTTTTTTTTCTGCCTCTGCAGAGCTGGGGGCTCTGACTCTGGTTTGAGGGGACGAGGGTGCCCCTCCCACCTCACAGCTTCCTTCCACACGGTGCTTGTGCAACACAGTGGGCGGGGGGCAACGTGCCGGGCTCGGGAAGGGGCTGCGGGAGGAGGGGGGCCATCTTAGCCCGCCCCACGGAGAAGATGGCGTCCTCCACAGCCTCCCATCGGGGGTTGGGGTCCCGTCGAGAAGATGGCGCCCGGGAGAGTGGGGGTCGGGGGCGCACGGCGGGGCCGCGGCGGCAGCAAGTACCGAGGGACGCGCTGGCGGTGGCCGCTCGCCGGTACCTTTCAGGGCCTGGTGCATCCCCCCGATGCCACTGTACAGCTCCAGCACCCGCAGTTCCGCCATTCTTCAGCCGGCGCCCTGCCCGGCGCTCCCGGCGGCCTCCCCGAGCGCCGCCCGCCCGTTCCGCTGCTCTTTCGTTCCCACCCGCCCGTCCTCCTCAGGGCCGGCGGCTCCCCGCCAGCCCCCGCCCCGTTGCGCAGCCCGGGAATTTAGCGGCTTAATTTGACGTTGCTAATTGCTCATTAAACCCCAAAGTGGGCTTAGGCCCGGAGGGTGAAAGCCACCCGCGGACATGACCGGTTCCACTTCCCCCTGAGGCAATAGCAGACATGGGGCCCACACAGCTCTGCCGCCTGCGCCCTCCTGGGAGTGGGGTCTCAGAAGAAGACCCTTCTCCCCACCATCAGTATCCCCTTGGTGTCAACATCTCCTCCTGGCCAAAGGCTCCTCATAGGGGCAAGCGGTGAAATTCCCAACCCAGTCAATACCTAAGACAGATTTTACATAGTTGATAAATGGCTGAACTGTAGAGAATCTTCTTTTAGAGAAGAAATGTAGCTATCTTAGTAACCACCCCAAATGGTTTCAAGGACTCAGTAAGACAAGAAAGGATGTCTGTGGCCCTGAGAACATGGTGACCTAAGACAGGGATGCAATAAATGTGGACAGTAGAATCATAGAATGGTTAGAGTTGGAAGAGACCTTAGAGATCATCGAGTTCCAACCCCCTGCCCTGGGCAGGGACACCTCCCACCAGACCAGGTTGCTCCAAGCCCCATCCAGCCTGGCCTTGAACCCCTCCAGGGATGGGGCAGCCACAGCTTCTCTGGGCAACCTCTTCCAGTGTCTCACCGCCCTCACAGTGAGGAATTTCTTTCTGGTATCTAAACTAAATCTTCCCTCTTCCAATTTAAAACCGTTACCCCTTGTCCTGTCACTGCACTTCCTGACAAGGAGTCCCTCCCCAGGTCTCCTGTAGCTCCCTTCAGATATTGGAAGGCTGCTGTAAGGTCTCCCCGGAGCCTTCTCTTCTCCAGGGTGAACAACCCCAGCTCTTTCAGCCTGTCCTCACAGCAGAGGTGCTCCAGCCTCTGATCATCTTCATGGCCCTCCGCTGGACCCGTTCCAACAGGTCCATGTCCTTCCTGTGCTGAGGACTCCAGAGCTGGACACAGAGCTCCAGGTGGGGTCTCACCAGAGCAGAGCAGAGGGGCAGAATCACCTCCCGTGACCTGCTGGCCACACTTCTCTTGATGCAGCCCAGGATGGGGTTGGCTTTCTGGGCTGCCAGTGCACATTGCTGGCTCATGTTGAGCTTCTCATCCACCAACACCCTCAAGTCCTTCTCCTCAGGGCTGCTCTCAATACATTCTCTGCCCAACATTGTCTGACAAACAGGTGGTAGCAGGGAGATCATTAGTTTTAATGAGCAATTAAGCAGTTAGAGTATTTTGGCAACATGAATAGTGAGCTGAAGGACAGGTGAAGAAGATGAAGATTGAGGAAGAAATGACCCTCACTCAAAATGAGGACCACCAGAAAGCACAACTACACATGCCCAAAAGCTTATTATAATATGTAAATGAATTCTTGGAAATGTAATGAATATGCTGTTTTCTTGGAATTACATTGCATATGTATACCTGTTGTATATAAATTTAATTTGATGACAGCTTTCAGTGTGCACAACATATGAGGAGCGATTCCCTGTGCAGCTGGCGCCACAATAAAGAATGCCTGCTTTCTGAACTTTAAATTGAGTCTTAGAAAGCTTTATTTGCCAGTTTGTGGTAACTCCATCGCCCTTCCTCACACCTTGCACCACCACAGGGAGTCCAGCTCTTGCTGGCAAGGCAGAGGCCAAGCCCGGCCGTTAGCGTCAGGGCAGGGATGAAGGGCAGAAATTAATTCAGGTGGCTTGTACAGGGCCAGGGTGCAGGGAGAGAAGGAGACATGGGGCAGGAAAAGGGACTTATTCCCACTTGGGGCTGTGCGTGCCTGCCTGCTCTCCGGCCGGACAGCCCGTGCCAATGGCCCACGGCAGTTTTATGGGCTGAAGCGTTTTGTGATTTCAGCGTGCAGAGATGTTTTTGAGAAGTCATTTCAAAGCCTTCACCACCGGTGGAACAGGAAGGAAGGAAATAACTGATGAAACTGTTCTAATTTGCCCCACCACTATGAAATTGCTTTTGCTAAATTGAAAAGGAAGAGGTGACTCAAAGACATTGTTGCCCCTGAAAAGTATTTTGTTTTAAAAGCAAATGTCAGACAGATGCATTTACCTATTTAACAACCAGAGTAAATATCTTGCACACTATTATGTGGATTCCCCATCACATGCAAGTAGGAGCTCACCTGCACCTCAGTTTGCAGATTTAGATTGTAAAGCGAAGATGAAATATTAAAAACAAACAAACAAACAAAAACCACCACAAAAAAACCACAACCACCACACAAAAACCTGAACATGTTTTGCTAATAATTTATTGAGTTCATCTTATTTTTGTGGAGCCTCGTAGAAACCTGTCAAAAATATGGTGGATTTGAGGAATATTTATTTTTCCATAGAAGCTGCCTCATCCAGCCTGTCCTAGTAGCTTGTACCACTTGCCTTTCAGTGGAGGAAGAATGTTTAGCTGAAACTGGGAGGCAGAAAAGAGAGACATTTGCTACCTTTTACATCACTTCTCCAGAATATGGGATGCATCAGCCCTCTACAACTACCAGAAATGAGGGTGTAGAGAGGTGGGGGTTGGCCTCTTCTCCCAAGGCAATAATGACAGGAGCAGAGGAAATGGTCTGAAGTTGGGGCAGGGGAGGTTTAGATTAGATATTGGGAAGAATGACTTTCCTGAGAGGGTGGTCAGGCCCTGGAACGACCTGTCCATGGAGGTGGTGGAGTTACTATCCCTGGAGGTACTTAAGAAACATGTAGACACTTCAGGGCACGCTCTAGCACCTGAGATTGTTGGTTTGATAGAAGCCCGAGGTCTACTTCTAGAATTTCTGAAAGGAAGTGTGGCAGCCAAGGTATACCAGAGGAGAGCAGCACGCCTTGAAACCAGCGGTGAGGCAGGCTGCACGGATGGCTGACAGGACTGAATCACAAACCCTCAAATGCGCTGGCTGGAGAAAACAGTCTTGGGACAAAGAGAAGTTCAAGAGACTTCAAGATGATGAAGGTGGCTACAAAGAACAAGGTTGTTATCAGCTAAGATGATACGCTTCATTAGGACCCCTTCAAAATATGGACACAGAGTGAAGTTTTAAAAAAAGGCAGCTTTTAGACTAATGAATTTAAAGCTGATGAATGAGTTTGAGCTTCTTGTATTACTGTTTCAGCAACCTGTACATCACAGCAATGCTAGATACTGTGATGAGTGGGATCTGTAGGCAGCTGGGAGGAGTTCATTTATTTGGAGCTGCCTGGCTCCTGGAGCGATTAAAGCTACAGAGGAGCCATATTTCCTTATATCAGACAAGGAGACACAACTGAGCCCTGTTTTTCCCTCTCCTTTCCCTGGCTCCAAGCTATTCTTGCCATTCACACATGGGAAGGGTGGAGTGTGATGGAGAAAGCAGCATAGATGTCTTTGCTATACTGGTGGCAGTAGAACAGTCCCTGCTCGGGGGAAATCCTCCACCTACATCCTCCACCAGTGTAGTAAACGGGAGAATCTGATCAACACGCCTATGCTCTGGCAACGGATAAATTCATACACTAGGTTGGGATTTTATTGGCTTCTTCTTGCAAAGAATGGGAAGCACCAGAATTTCCCTAGTGCTCATTTTTAAACAACTGCCAATAGTCAGTTTTATAATGCTGTATAGCTGTGTCTGCCCTAACCTGGTTCTCATTATTAATTGAGAGCTGCAAAAAAGACCAAAAGGAAAACAGGGAATCTGGAAACAGTTACTTTTAGGGCTCTTCCCTTTATAAATGTAAAGTCAGCATAATAATAACCACACTTTTTGGATTAGATCTTACATAATAGTATTTAAGGTATGCTCCTTTTTTTCAGAGACTGAGGCAATGGCTGAGAAGTGCCGAGATCCATGGCCACTCATATTTTTCTTCTTACAGAAGAGCTTAATGATTGCAGAGAGAAGATGAGCCCTGTGAAAGTGATTGTTCATACTTCACTCAGAAAAACTTGGTAACACATGCTGCCACTGCCATGGGGCGGGCTAAACAGTTGCTCACTCTTTGTCTTGTGACCCCAAAGCAGCCACGTCTGCAGAATTTCCCAACTGGATCTCTCTGACTTACTGAAATGTGGATATTGGGACAGCTGCTTCTTTCTCTGCTCCGTGCATATAGGATGCATGGGTTTCCCGTAAATATCAATGAACATTTCATTTGATTAACAGAGGAGATCAATAACAGACTTGAAGTCCAATGTCCACCTCTGGACTCTTAATATATTTTAAGACACTGGTATGGACTGTTTCATATATCAGTTATGGCTTAACAATACAGCTGGCTTCAAATAACAGTTGATAGGCTTTTCTTATAAGATGTTAGTTTATTCTAAACGAGCACATCTATAGAACTATGATAATGCATTGATGAAGCATCTATTTCCTTGGGTCTATTATATTTATAGTAAAATATCTTTTAAGCTAAGTGATTGTTTAATGACATTTGTAAAGCCATTGACATAAGCATGTGATACCAGCATTTTCATTGAGACAGCTTTTGAAAACTCCTGCCTCCTAGCAACTAGCAGCATTTCCTCAGTGTAGAAGTTTCCAAAGTTTGCCCACGTCTCTGATGGAGGGGTATGATACAGGTAATCAAGCTAGATCTTAAACCGTTGCCCTGGTAACCAATAAACACATCCAGTGAAACAGCTATATGTGGTAAGAGGAACACGCAAACGAAACCACTGCAATATTTTCTCTTCTTAAAATGCTTTAGAATTGTTAAAAA